TCACACACTGTTGCTGGTATTTTGGCCCATTCCTCCATGCAGATCTCCTCTAGAGCAGTGATGTTCTGGGGCTGTCGCTGGGCAACACGGACTTTAAACTCCCTCCAAAGACTTTCTATGGGGTTGAGATCTGGAGACTGGCTAGGCCACTCCAGGACCTTGAAATGCTTCTTACGAAGCCACTCCTTCGTTACCCGGGCGGTGTGTTTGGGATCACTGTCATGCTGAAAGACCCAGCCACGTTTCATCTTCAATGCCCTTGCTGATGGAAGGAGGTTTTCACTCAAAATTTGACGATACATGGCCCCATTCATTCTTTCCTTCACACGGATAAGTCGTCCTGGTCCCTTAGCAGAAAAACAGCCCCAAAGCATGATGTTTCCACCCCCATGCTTCACTGTAGGTATGGTGTTCTTTGGATGCAAGTCAGCATTCTCTCTCCTCCAAACACGACGAGTAGAGTTTTTACCAAAAAGTTCTATTTTGGTTTCATCTGACCATATGATATTCTCCAAGTCATCGTCTGGATCATCCAAATGCTCTCTAGCAAACTTGAGACGGGCCTTGACATGTACTGGCTTAAGCAGGGGGATACGTCTGGCACTGCAGGATTTGAGTCCTTGGCGGCGTAGTGTGTTACTGATGGTAGCCTTTGTTACTTTGGTCCCAGCTCTCTGCAGGTCATTCACTAGGTCCCCCCGTGTGGTTCTGGGATTTTTACTTACCATTCTTGTGATCATTTTGACCCCACGGGGTGAGATCTTGCGTGGAGCCCCAGATCGAGGAAGATTATCAGTGGTCTTGTATGTTTTCCATTTTCTAATAATTGATCCCACAGTTGATTTCTTCACACATAGCTGTTTACCTATTGCAGATTCAGACTTCCCAGCCTGGTGCAGGTCTATGATTTAGTTTCGGGTGTCCTTTGACGGCTCTCTAGTTTTGGCCATGGTGGAGTTTAGAGTGTGACTGTTTGAGGTTGTGGACAGGTGTCTTTTATACTGATAACGGGTTCAAACAGGTGCCATTAATGAAGCTAACGAGTGGAGGACAGAGGAGCCTCTTACAGAAGAAGTTACAGGTCTGTGAGAGCCAGAAATCTTGCTTGTTTGTAACTGACCAAATACTTATTTTCCACCATATTTTGCAAATAAATTCTTTAAAAATCAGACAATGTGATTTTCTGGATTTTTTTTTCTCATTTTGTCTCTCATAGTTGAGGTCATTGGCGGCCGGCCCATAGGGGGCGCTGGGGCACCGCCCTCCCTGATAAGAAGAGAGAAACGTAAAATATATTTTTAGAAATTAAATCATAAATGTCAGTTTTACTCTCTAGACTGTGTACCTATAAGCAAAACAAATTATATAAACTACATTTCCCTATCTACTGTCATTAATTTGTGGATTTCCACAGACAGACTCCTACCGTCTCTGTTCTGGGGGCTGTGATCAGACTGACCCACATTTGCAGAGAATCTGTCAATCATGTACTTTTGCTAGGTGAATTTAATGGCCAATCAGCGTCTCGGAACTTTATGGTCTTGGGGCGCTGAAAATACTGCGCTTTTACAGGCTTCTGAACCCAAGCGCAGGTGCAGACAATGAGAGGGACGATGGCGAACGTAACAAGGAAGATGCAGCTTCCACCAAATTCGGTGAGATCCTTATTTATCTACCCGTTTGCCGGAAGAACATCCCTGTTGTAGGATATGAACATTTCATGTCATGGTTATTGTGACTGTGACGAATCCACCTCCTCGCTTAAAACAACCTCTCTAACTTTGCGCGCCACACACACGTTCCTGTTATACTGTGTTTGTGAGGACCAATACACTCGCGCTGAGCCCAGTAGCTCCATGAACTTAAAACACACAAGCTGTTCCTGGTTACCTGCTGGCATATTGAGGGTGCACACTTAATATTTCAGTGGGGTTAGCCGTGTGTGTGTGTGGTATGTGGGGGGTGTGGGTGTGGGTGTGTGTGTGTGTGTGGTGGGTGTGTACGTGTTTATGCTATGGGGACTTGTCAACTTCAGTCTGGCTGCGTCTTTGCTGGGTTCAAACCCAGTTTGGTGTAATTGAATAAGTCAACGAATCTGTATAAAAGAATTAAGTTGTAAAAATTATTTGTTTTTGTAAATTAATTGTTTGTGGAGGTAATATATGGACAAAACTGATTAATGAGAAGAAATCAGAAATAAGAGAGCCTGAGGTGAGGGGCTTAAACTATTTAATGAGGGCTGTGGGAAGAAAAGCGGCAATTTTTGTTGTCTGTTTCTTTGTTACATTGCTGGTAACTGGAGGGAGGCTGAGGCCCAGAGGATCTGGTATATGTTTAGTTTCTTTTGCACCCTGTTTTGATTTTTTGAGCTCAATAAATCAGCAACACCGGTAACCCGACTGAGACTGGATTCTTGGAGGCCAAAGAACCCCGTCACAGTGACCCAAATCATCACTGTTATTATATAGTAAATTAAATCATTACTGTTAAATTGTATGTATTGTCCAATTGTTTAATCGAATTCTTATTCCGGATTAGTTGGAGACATACACTAGGCTATATCAGCCCCACCAAAAATATTTTTCACCAGCCGCCACTGGTTGAGGTATATCTATGATGAAAATTACCGGCCTCTCTCATCTTTTTGAGTGGAAGAACTTGCACTATTGGTGGCTGACTAAATACTTTTTTGCCCCACTGTATATGCTATAAGCAGCAAGCACCAAAATAATAACAACAGAGCTGAGTCTATTTCTTTGCAACCTGCCAGATCAGCTTCTCTGATTGGTTGATAAGGCACATCGAGCAGAAAAGTTCTAATTTTTCAACTCCAGCATTAGCCGCTTGTGAAGCACTGCACGGGATTCAGATGCTAATATGATCAAGATTCGTTGCTCCTGGTGATCAAAATGTGCTGTAGGACCTTTGCCAGGACAGGCAAATGTTTTTCATTGAGGTTAAAATAGAAAAGCAATATATTAATACCCAGGTAGTGCTAAAGTTATATTATGAATTTGCGCTCAAAAGGACTTTAAATGATGCAAATCCACCCCCAAAAATATGATGTTTGACCTTTAAAAGAAATTGATAAAAAATTAAATAGCCTTAACTGCTTTTTTCAAATATTTGACTATTCTTTCAGAATAGAATGATGGGTTATATTTCAAAGTCTAATAGAAATGAATTTGATTTTAAATTGGAGTTAGTAACCTTGGATAGCTTGCAGTGCACAGGACATGAATGCCACGCTGGATTTAAATTTTGATTATTTTTATGGCCTATTGGGTTTCTTCTGTTCGTTAAGCTCTAAAGTAATTAAATCTAATAATTTTGATGTACACTCTACAACTCATAACCATAAACAAAAAAATACACTTGTAAAAAGACAACACAGACCTTCAGAGAAAACAACTTGGATTTAAAAGGGTGAAAAACAACTAAATCCTTGTGCAGGTTACTCAGATATTATGACTGCACCCTGAATGCATGTGGAAATAAGATTTTTGACAAGCCTTATGGGGAAACCATAGAAAACAGGCTGTAAATAGCTGACCTGTAAATATGTGCTCTCTGAGAGCTGGCTGATTAGTTCTGTGAAATTGGACTGCCAAGACTGAGGGTTACATAAAAGAGGTAGAAAGAACTAGAAGAAATGGATAAAAGAAAAGGGTTGCAGCTGAATTAATACATACTGACAAAATGGCGAGGAAAGGAATGGACAAGTTAACAAAAAGGAAATTAAGAGATGTATGGAAAAATAAGTATGAAATATTCAAAGGTATGAGTGAAAATAGAAAGATAGGGTGAAGATGTGCGAGCTTAGAAATTGGAATTGAGGATAAAAGAGAGAATTATAAATTCACAGGAGGGAGTGGAAAACACGGGAGATGAAAAGGAAAAGAACGATGGCACTGAAAAACTAAATAGCAGCAGTTGTTGAAAGATAAAAAGGAAGGATGGAGGCAATTTGAGAAAACATATGAAAGACAAGGAGGGGTTAAGGCTAAAATTTAATTAGTAAGGAGGAAGGATTGGGAATAAAGCTAAGGATAAAACAGAAGGTGGTGTTGAAGGTGCAGTGTAAAATAAAGAAAAATGCCAATATGTAATGCATGGTGTAAAAGGAAAGAATAGGAGAGTTATGAAAAAGAAATTAGATAAAGAAGAGAAGCAAAATGGATGTAGAGCAAGAAAAATTAACTGTCCCTTCCTACGGCTCTCATGGGATCCTCAATCTCTGCTGTGTTTAATTTAAATAAAGAGCCTGGAGTTAGAGCATAAATGTGTGTTTTGTATTAAGTGTGCACATGGTTAGAATCCCCAGTGGACACTTTATCCCAGTCCTACACTAACCAATTGTGCTTGGTGTCACAGAGACAAATCTCAACTTCAGCATAGCTATATGCATAACTAAACTACATTTTAAAGATTGTTTTAAAGGAAGTTGGGTGAAAACTGACTATAAATGAGTCAATATCTATAAAACAGACTATAATGATAAAAAAAACATATATTCTACAATCCTTACCTAAATCACAGCCCCAGAAAGAAAAGTCATGCACTTACTTGAGGCTGTAAGTTACAGAGTCATATCACATAAGAATAGTTTTGTTTTAAAGCATTCCTGAGGCAAGACTACAGCATGAAATATGTTGATATGGCTACATATTTCCTGCTGACTTTTATGTTTTTTGAACTGCTTATCATTAATATGTATCAGTAAACAAAAGCAACAATATAAAATACACACTCCCTAGAAGCTGTTTACCTTATCTCTCCTTAAGTGCTATAAAAGAAACAGTAAATTCAACTTATTTTATTCAGGATCATCATCTTCTTCTACTCCCCAGCCATGTGATTTTTTTTCCTGCTGTGTCAAAAACCTTTTTAGATTAAACCATCTACACTTTTTGCAGCAGTCTGGATGAAAACATAAATAAAGACCTGACAATGTTTTTTAAATGAAGGAAAATTCATAGACCGTGCTTTGAGTAACGTACCCGTTTCACAGCGGCTTCCTGTGAATCCCGAAGGACAAACACATGTGTTTGGGGACACACAGGACCCTCCACTCCGACAACCATCTTCACAGAAAGCTGGAAAAACAAACAGCAATGAGTCAGAAAATTTTGTCAGCATGTAACGGCAGTAACCAATGAATATCTACTATACCAGTTTAATTCTAGAGCACTTTAAAGTGCTGCACCAAAAATGAAAAACCATGTATGTACATAAAAAAAAAAGATAAAACCAAAGAGGAAGACAGACAAAGAAAGCTCACTCTGGTTTAAAAGCGAATGCAAAAGAAGATTTCAGAAGAGTTTTACAAATATCACAAGCTGGAGCATGCCTGATCATCAGAGACAATTTATGACACAACTTTGGAGTCAAAACTGCAAAAGCTTTGTCTCGTCTAGATTTATAACCAGAAAGATAAAAAAAAAAAAAAAAAAAAAAGAAAAAAAAATCTGGTCTGCAGATCTAAGAACAAAAGTATATAGGGTTAGAGCAGTTAAAATAATTAGAGGTGGCCAGTCCTCCTTGGTCCTTAAAATAAAATAAAATAATTACATATATTGTATATTATCAATTACATTATCAAGCAAGCTATATACAGGGAAAAAAATGTTTTCATCAGTCAGCCTGACTTTCACCTTAAGTCTTTAAGTTATTTTTCAGACCTAAAACTACGAAAAATGTGCTGTTATGTCCTCTAATATTCCTACAGACAGAAATTTGAGGAGCATTGGACAGTTTATTATATTATCCAACCCTTTAATATAACATAAGTTTACTCTTAGGAATTTTAATATCCCACATTTGCAAGTAGCCTTGCAGAGAGTACCTAAACACATGAATGGTTTCAACACACCTGCATATGAATTTCACATCATGTGAAAACAATAAAAGTCACTGTTGCAAACTAAACTAGTCATCAGTCAACTAAACCCGATTGTATACAGTAGCTTAACCAAAAAGAGAGTTAACGGATATTTTAAAATTTTATAAAATGTATTCATGTTCATTTTTTATGCTAAGATGATGAAAAAAATCATAGATTTTAGACTTAAGATGTTACCAAAGAAGATAAAATTGTGAAAAATTTAGATTTTATATATATATATATATATATATATATATATATATATATATATATATATATATATATATATATAATGTGAGAGACCGAGAGATAGATATGCTACTTTACCACTTACATTTTAAGACTGTAACCTTGACAGTGCCTTACTTTTTCCAACTGGAACCAAGCTACTGTCTGTATACTGCATACTGTCAACACAGCGGTATCTGTCTCTTACATGTCTAAAACCTAATTGAGTTTCTGGCAATCCACAATTATTTACTGTGGTGTTACTCCAAAATATCGCATTTCTCTTTGAAGCTTTTTCTACAGTTACTGAAATGTTATGTAAGAGCAGGTATGACCTTTACAAAACAGCTTCAGAACACAACTGGCTTCCTACAAGGAGAAAAACATAAAAAGTCTAAATTATACTTAGTTTTGCCTTTAAAGTGCAAGGATTTAAGTTAAAAAGAGTGCAGACTTAATTTAGTAGGTTCATTAAAGAGTAATTAATTGAGTATTTCTAAATGTAATTAATGATATGAATCAAGAGATTGGCTTTAATGGCCTGAAAAATCTATTTAAAGTTACATACCAAAGGGTGTGCAGGGAAAATATCTGTGTAATCTGTGTGCAGCGGCTTGTCTCAGATTAGTTTATGATACTAAAGAAGGACCATTTGTTTGCATAAATTATCACCACAAATGTTTGGGGGGAAAGGGGGGGCTTAATATACAAACAACTGCAGAGCAATATATAAAAGTAGAACCCAGAGCAAGGAGCAATTAATCTGATTGGTTCCACTAATAAAAATTTGTTATGAGGCCCTCATTAGGCGCCGATTGCCTCTGTACTCATACACTTCACTCTTAATAATGAATTAGACATACACTGATTTATCCATCTCGTGATTTAATAATTATTTCAACTTGATCAGCAAAATGCTGCCTGCAACATAAACTAAGGACTTATGATGTGGGGCATTTTTAGAGCTAAGAAAAAAAAAAAAAAAAAAAAAAAATATATATATATATATATACATACATATATATATATGCCTCACTGGCATCAAACAGTTAAGACGTGTCAAGGCAAGGAAGTTAAAATATCATCATTGCAGTACTTCTTGCATTTACAATGCAGTTGTAATGCAGTCCAACTATTAAATTTGATTGCTCTTTCAAAACCAGAATCTTAGCAAAAACTAAAGCAGGAAATTCTGGTTTTGCACACCCACCTCCTTTCAGTAGGATGTATTTTGCTAATCACACACAGAGTTACTATGAAAAGATCCCAAACAAATACACAAACCGTTTGATCTAAAAGCAGATACATTCTTTTATTCTTAGCTCATTCTTCAGCAAGAGAATTTTCAGCATATTCGGGAATAAAGCTCCAACTTCTTCATCCATCTACCGGTATATCTCAAATCCTATTACCGGTATACTCATGAAAAAGTTGATGCAAACTCTGAAAGCCAACCCAAACTGTAATTCTGAATATACTGCCTCCAACTTACAGTGCAGTATTTTATCTCACCATGGCTGCTTCAGAGTTTACTGCAACCTGCTCTAATTTCTCTGATAAAGTTTTTCATTAATTATGATATAATTTCTACGCACTTTATATTATAGATTATGATTATCTTTTGAAACCTAAATTTCCAAGATATTCTCAAATAAAACAGATTCTAAGTTCACCAACAGCAATCAAACAATAATGATTAAGCATGATAACTCAATATTCATGCTGTGTTTACTCTAAAATTAACGTTCCCTGATATTGTGTAACATTGTAACCAAAGGAACCTGGAACAAATCTTATTTGAATTTGGTTTAAAAAATAAATGAATAAAAACTATGTTCAGCTCATAAAGAGGAAAAAAAAAAGAGTGTTGTTTTCCTGCCACATACATCTGCAGGCTTTCAAAACATGGCAGTGATATTCCATTTCTAGGCAGGATCGAAAGGAGAATCAGAAATGCATTGCTGAGCTCCACCAAACACCATGGGGAACACAGTAGACAAGTGAAATTTCACATTCATGAGAACAGACTTAGAGAGCTGTTGTTGTATTGCATTCTCTCTTATTTCCTTTTTATTTGTGCCTGCAGACATTGATGTTTGTTTCCTCGTCTCTGTCGCAAAAAAACTTGAAGTTTACCATTGATTCCACTAAGCCTTCACAAAAGCTGTTATCTTGAACAGAATAGCTCACAAAAAGGAGTCACTCCATCATCCCTCTCTAATATTTGTTTTTTCTTGTGCAAATTCTTAGTCATCTTAAATTTCCATTTTCCTAAGTAAGTTCCTCAATATCTGTGATACCTGAACACCGCATCACCAGGAAGCAAGCTGCAGGGATAGATTCAGACTCCCCTCACCCCCCCGCCCCCTTTAAAAATATGGTCTCCTTGACCTCCAGCTAAATTATCTCCCTGTTAAGTGAGCCAGTTGCTGACTCGTACCGAATCATGCTTATAGACATAGATTTGCTATTTGAGTTCCACATTACATGCCATAGATTGCTTTCCAGTGGGTGGTAAGAATGAAATCATTCCACTTTGTGCCATGCAAGCAGCCGTGTATACGGTCATTGGGCGTCTAAGGAGCCATCTCAGGTTTAAGAGCAGGAAAGCAACAGAGGAAATGAAGTTAATATTCCACAATTTATATATGTATGAAGAGGGAAAAGAGCTTTGAAACTAGTAGACCAGAACCAATGTAATAATTGGCATTCATAGAGGTTTAACGCAGTGAAGTAGTGTGCTGCACATTTTAACCCCTCAATCCTCATCATATGTTTAGAAGGAAGTGTAAATCTTACGAGTTGACAAATATTTCAGAAGATTATTTTCAAAAACCCGTGTTAACCTTCTGTTAAGTGTTTTATAAAGGTAAACCGCCTTTTGCTAACCAGCACATTTTTAGTGTAGCACTATTACAAAAGCCTGTCAGGTCAGCTTATCATAATATGTTGTAAAATATGCAACTCTGAGTAAGTAAAAGTGAATATTTTGCATATTAGCTTAACTTTTTCTCATAACAAGTGGAGCTTTAAATACAAATAAGATTGGTACGCTTTAAGAAATAACATCTTACTCAATAGTCAGAGCAGTCATCTTAGAGTTGGATCAGTGATAGTAGCTGTCCTGATGTATATACAGCAATCTTTACTTTAAAATCTGCCTTGCCAGTGAACTTACATGAACTCTCTTCCATATTAACACACACTTTGTGGACTTATCTTTTCTTTTAAATAAGTTTTGAAGAGGTTTTGACTCTAAGTATATCTTCCAACACATGCAGGTAAGAGAAAGCACAGTAGAACAAGCACACGTCTTGTGAAGACGCCATTCATTAGCTCTCAAAGAGCAGTGAATGTGTACCTTGAAAAGGGATGAAACCAGCTTCTGTACTCTCTCATCTACTTCCCTAATCTCAGAGGACGAAAGATGCCTGCTGCCTCTTTTACTGCAGAGGGTGTGTATAATTTTTGCTGAGCTTTCTTGCTAATGAATGCACAACAGCAGGCATAAAAACAAGCACAGAAGTTTACCGTCTGCTGCAAAAGGGAACCGAAGAACCCAAAGCAAGAACTGAGAAGGTAGTATATTCAGCTATTTAGTCATACAAATACCCCACTTCGTCATTCATCAGGGTGCACGTAGTTCACCTTTAGCAGAACTCTCAGTAGGGTCTTTTATTGAACATCACAGATAATGACTGCACTTACAAGACAATAAGAGTCTGGGCTAGGCTGTCGGCATGGATTAAAGCTGCATTAAAGAAGGTTTTTACAGCCATAATGTATCTGCAGAGTGTTGAAAGCGAGGTTGATCAATACTGCTGACACGACAATTTATTCTGCGGGTACTTCGAGAGATTTCTTGCTTTGGAACAAGCTTCTACACATTTTAAACGGCCCTTCAGGGTGGTGTCTTACAAGCAACTCTTCAGAATCATATCCTATTGGGATATCTGAGACATTGGAGAGCAGTTTAAGGAATAA